GGAGCAGAAATTGTTAACAGCTTCAAATACTACCATCTTATACAATTTCATGAACTTTCTAAAACTGAATATGCATTTTCTACAGTCCTGTTACTGCATCTAAGTTTATTGCTGTGTGCCTTCAAGTCATTTCTGGCTTATGGCGATCCTAAGATTAATCTATCAGAGGATTTTCTTGGCAAAATTTGTTTAGAGATTTGCCCTTGATTTTTTTCTAAGGCCAAGAGAGTGTGAATTGCCTGAAGTCTCCCAGAATGGTTTCCATTATTGGGTGGGGATTTGATAACACTCTAAACACTACTCTGGCTCACACCAAGGCTCAGCATAAGGCTTTTCTGCTTCCAATCACTACATTTTGTGAATGTATTTTTATTAACAGCCTAAAAGAAAGTCTCAGAAATTTTACTAAATATTATGCATTTGTCTCGGTCTTTATTTCAGCCCAGTTTTCTATTTCATCAAGGTCTCTTCTTCCAATGAAATAAACAAATATCAGTTGGGCAGTAGTTATATTCGAGGCACAATTGATTTGAGTAATCTGCACTGAATTCAGGGTAACAAAGTATCTAAGTTATTTGTGTATATTTGGTGAGAATATGTAAGAAGATCCTGTCACCTGACATTAATTTTCTAGTGACTGATCACCTTTTAAAAGTATTTTGTTCATACAAAAATATTTACTTATCCATGAAAGTAATAATAAATGTGCTTTGGATTTGTCCAGATTTCTTGCTACATTCATACACAGAATAAAAAGACATTTTTATACATTTTGTGTAGCTTGTTAAAAGACACTGAGAGGAGTGGGGCTGTTACGAATGAAAGTGGCCTCCCTTTTCTGTGCTGCTGCACTTTCTAATTAACTCTATGCTCTCACCACTCCTCCATTGTCACCAGCTGACCGCTGTACACATTCTGGTTTGAATTTTTAAAATTTGCACATCACAAAATAATTTATATACTGTATATGTAGTTACTAGAACAGGCATGGTCAAACTGGCCCTCCAGGTATTTTGGACTTAGAATCATAGAATAATAGAGTTGGAAGAGACCACATGGGCCATTTAGTCCAACCCCCTGCCATGCATGAAAAGCACAATCAAAGCACCCCTGGCAGATTGCTAGTTCTTCAAGGGAAGAACTTCCACCACAGTCCGAGGTAGAGAGTTCCACTGCTGAACAGCTCTTATGGTCAGGAAGTTCTTCCTAAAATTCAGATAGAATCTCCTTTCCTGTCATTTGAACCCACTGCTCTTAGTCCTAGTTTCAAAGGCAGGAGGAAAAAAAAGCTGCTCCCTCTTCCTTATGACACCCTTTCGCTTATTAATTCATGGCTATCATGTCTCCTTTCAACCTTCTTTTCTGCAGGCTAAGCATACCCAGCTCTCCTCATAGGGCATGGTCTCCAGACCTTTGATTATTTTATAATCAATATATTTTATAATGATCATTTCAGTTGTCCTCCTTTGGATACCTTCCAGTTTGTCAATATCTCTTTTGAACTGTGGTGCCCAGAATTGGACATGGTATTCCAGGTGAGGTGTAACCAAAGCAGAATACAACAGCACCATGACTTCCCTCATTCTAGAACTTTGGACCTTAAGATCTTCCGGGGATGCTCTTCTCTCGCTCCCACCCCTGTCTCAGGCACGGTTGGTGGGGACGAGAGAAAGGGCATTCTCGGTGATGGTCCCTTGTCTCTGGAACTCCCTCCCCCGGGAAATTAGGCTGGCACCCTCCCTACCCACATTCCGTAAGGAATTAAAGACGTGGATGTTTCGTTGTGCATTTGACTGACGACTCTGTGACAGATGACCGGTTTACTTACTTACTTAGGTGATCCCTCGTAGTCCGAGGATGATGGTCCTCCAAGAGTGGTAACCTGGGGGTGGATCCGTAGGTGGCTGTGGAGCCCTATTCTTGATCTGCATCTTCTCCCACAGTGAGGGCATCGGTTTCCAGGTGGGAGGCAGTCCCGGTCGGGGTTGGCTTGACGCGCCTTCCTCTTGGCACGTTTCTCTGACCTGTATCATGACCTGAATCTGAATTCCTATATTACATTACTATATTTTTAAGTTAAGCCGAATTGATCCTGCTTAATTGCTCAGTTTCCATGCTATTTCCTATGCTACTATACGTTTCTATCCACCTATCCTTTAACCAGTTCGCATAATGGCCTCCTCCCCCTCTCCAAAATTAGTCTGCTGTTGCTTTTGATGTTTGTTTATTATTGTTTATGCTGTTATTGTTCTGTTTTTAATTGTATGTTGCCTTGGGTTTGGCCCCATGTAAGCCGCCCCAAGTCCCTTTGGGGAGATGGAGGCGGGGTAGAAAAATAAAGTTCTTCTTCTTCTTCAGCCCTCCAGGTGTTTTGGACTTCAACTCCCACAATCCCCAACAACCTCAGACCTTTTCCTTTTCTCCCTCTGCCACTTAAGTGGCGGAGGGGAAACAGGAAGGGGCCTGAGGCTTCAACTCCAGCCTGAGGCCTAAGTGGCTGAGGGGGGAAAGGAATGGGCCTGAGGCTGTTAGGTATGGTGGGAGTTGAAGTCCAAAGCACCTGGAGGGCTGAAGTTTGCCCATGCCTGTTCTAGACACTATACTCCTTATGATGCAGCCCAAAATCCCAACTTCAACTCCCACAATTCCCAACAGCCTATCAACTGTTAGGAATTATGAGAGTTGAAGTCCAAAACACCTGGAGTGCCAAAGCTGGCCCATGCCTGCACTAGAACCATAACAACTGCAGAAAATAAAAGTTAATTTCTCAAATTGACCCCCTTAAAAATCAATTTGCCCCTCCTTGGGAACCAGGATGAGCCCCAGGTCTCTGGAGACAAAGGTTCAAATCCTGGCTTTGCCACAGAAACCCACTGAGTGACACTTTCTCAGCCTCAGAGGAAAGAAAAGGCAAAACCCCTCTGAACAAATCGAAGCAAGAAAGCCCTGCTGGAAAAGGGATAGGAAAAGAGATTCTGCAAAGATACAGAATGGGGGACTCATGGCTCAAGAGACAGCAAGTTAAACATGAGCCAACAATGTCATGTGGCGACAAAAAAGCCAATGGGATTTTGGCTTGCATCAATAGGAATATAGTGTCTAGAGAAGTCATGCTACCCCTCTAGTCTGCCTTGCTCAGACCACATCTGGAATATTGTGTCCAATTCTGGGCACCACAGTTGAAGAGAGATATTGATAAGCTGGAATGTGTCCAGAGGAGGGTGACTAAAACGATCAAGGGTCTGGAGAACAAGCCCTATGAGGAGTGGTTTAAAGAGCTAGGCATGTTTAACCTGAAGAAGAGAAGGCTGAGAGGAGACATTTATTTTGTCGTGTCTGGGCAACCAGTCAATTATATTACATTTCTAACAGAACAAAGCAAACAAACAGACAAAATACAAAATGTGTGAGTTTGGTAGTTGATTAAATGTCCTTTGACCAGTATCTGGCCACTTGGAGTGCTTCTGGTGTTGCCGCAAGAAGGTCCTCCATTGTGCATGTGGCAGGGCTCAGGTTGCATTGCAGCAGGTGGTCAGTGGTTTGCTCTTCTCCACACTCGCATGTCGAGGATTCCACTTTGTAGCCCCATTTCTGAAGGTTGGCTCTGCATCTCGTGGTGCCAGAACAGCTGTTCGGGTATGTTCAGCGCCTTCCAAGTCGCCTAGTCCTCTGTGTGCCCAGGGGGGAGTCTCTCATTTGGTATCAGCCATTGGTTGAGGTTCTGGGTTTGAGCCTGCCACTTTTGGACTCTCGCTTGCTGGGGTGTTCCAGCGAGTGTCTCTGTAGATCTTAGAAAACTATTTCTAGATTTAAGTCGTGGACGTGCTAGCTGATACCCAAACAGGGGATGAGCTGGAGATGTCTCTGCCTTGGTCCTTTCACTATTGGCAGCTACTTTCTGGTGGATGTCAGGTGGTACAATACCGGCTAAGCAGTGTGATTTCTCCAGTGGTGTAGGGCACAGACACCCGTGATAATGCGGCATGTCTCATTAAGAGCCACATCCACTGTTTTAGTGTGGTGAGATGTGTTCCACACTGGGCATGCATACTCAGCAACAGAGTAGCACAGCGCAAGGGCAGATGTCTTCACTGTATCTGGTTGTGATCCCCAGGTTGTGCCAGTCAGCTTTCGTATGATATTGTTTCTAGCACCCACTTTTTGCTTGATGTTCAGGCAGTGCTTCTTGTAGGTAATAGCACGATCCAGAGTGACTCCCAGGTATTTGGGTGCGCTGCAGTGCTCCAGTGGGATACATGATAGCCATGTATAAATATGTGAGAGGAAGTCATAGGGAGGAGGGAGTGAACTTGTTTTCTGCTGCCCTGGAGACTAGGACGCGGAACAATGGCTTCAAACTACAAGAAAGGAGATTCCATCTGAACATTAGGAAGAACTTCCTGACTGTGAGAGCTGTTCAGCAGTGGAACTCTCTGCCCCGGAGTGTGGTGGAGGCTCCTTCTTTGGAAGCTTTTAAACAGAGGCTGGATGGCCATCTGTCGGGGGTGCTTTGAATGCAATTTTCCTGCTTCTTGGCAGGGGGTTGGACTGGGTGGCCCATGAGGTCTCTTCCAACTCTTTGATTCTATGAAAGGAGATTCCATCTGAACATGAGGAAGAACTTCCTGACTGTGAGAGCCGTTCAGCAGTGGAACTCTCTGCCCCGGAGTGTGGTGGAGGCTCCTTCTTTGGAAGCTTTTAAACAGAGGCTGGATGGCCATCTGTCGGGGGTGCTTTGAATGCAATTTTCCTGCTTCTTGGCAGGGGTTGGACTGCGTGGCCCATGAGGTCTTTTTCAATTCTATGATTCTATGAAAACATTTAAAAACAAAACTACAATAGTAATACACTCTCCCTAGCTAGTAAAGGGACACCCTATTTGCACAATCCATTCACACCAAGCAACTCCTGCCCCTCGCCTTCCTGCCCTCCCCAAAGCTCAACCGGGGACGCTTGTTAGGGAGACACCAACACTACTTCCGCCTTAAGCCCCGCCCCTTCCGGCGAGTGCGTCGCCTTCTTTCTTCCGCTCCTGGGAGGCTGACAGTCTTGCTGCCCAGGCAGGTGAGTGGGGAGCCATCTCTGCCTCGGCTCTGAGTGCACTTCCGCTGCAGGACTCATGCAGCTTGGCACTACTTGGGACTGCTGTGGCTCAGAGCTATGAAATCTTGAGAGTTGTAGCTTTCTGCTTCATCCCACTAGAGAATGAATCCTGCAGGATTTGGGGGTTTGTAGTTTAGTGAGGTTGCTAAAGGCCCCTCCCTAAACTACAAAGCCCACAATCCTGCAGGAGGCAGCAACTGGATCAAAAGTGGGTTTATTCTCTAGTGTGATGAGGTATAGAATCATAGAATCAAAGAGTTGGAAGAGACCTCACGGGCCATCCAGTCCAACCCCCTGCCAAGAAGCAGGAATGTTGCATTCAAATCACCCCTGACAGATGGCCATCCAGCCTCTGTTCAAAAGCTTCCAAAGAAGGAGCCTCCACCACACTCCGGGGCAGAGAGTTCCACTGCTGAACGGCTCTCAACCTTAAGGTGTTAAGGTTGACAGTGCCTCACCAAACTACAACTCCTCTGATTCCATAGCATCGTAGCAATCAAAAGTGGTGTCGAACTGCATTCATTCTACTGTGGTGCATCTCACACAGGCCTGCATGACATAAAAAAATCTATTTCTAAAACATGAAAACGGCGCTCCATGCAGTCATGCCGGCCACATGACCTTGGAGGTGTCTATGGACAACGCCGGCTCTTCGGGCATAGAAATGGAGATGAGCACCACACTCCAGAGCCGGACATGATTGGACTTAATGTCAGTGGAAAACCTTTACCAAAAATAGGAATTTGGTGTTGTAAACACAAAAGTGACCCCAGATTTTCTCCAACTTGTTTTCACAAGTTGCTTTGATGTGTTTATTACATCATATGTGGCAGAGCAAGATTTTTTTTTTTTTAGGGGAGTGTTCTAGAGTTCCATAGGATGTTACCATGGCAACTGAAATGGAACCAAACCGCTGTTCTTGTGCAGTGTGAAAGTTGCCTGTGAGGCTACTGCCTATTTGGAGATTTAAATAACATCTCCTTCTGGGTAAAGAACCTAAGGTATGGGAATAATCCAAGGAAAACAAAATTAAAAAGGTAAAGTGGGTTGTTGTAGGTTTTTTTGGGCTATATGGCCATGTTCTAGAGGCAGTCTCTCCTGACGTTTTACCTGCATCTGTGGCAAGCATCCTCAGAGGTAGTGAGGAAAACCTTCGACAATAAAAAGGTAAAGGTTTCCTCTTGACGTTAAGTCTAGTTGTGTCTGACTCTGGGGGGTGGTGCACATCTCCATTTCTAAGCTGAAGAGCCGGCGTTGTCCGTAGACGCCTCCAAGGTCATGTGGCCGTCATGACTGCATTGAGTGCTGTTATCTTCCTGCCAGAGTGGTACCTATTGATCTACTCACATTTACATGTTTTCAAACTGCTAGTTTGGCAGAAGCTGGGACTAACAGCGGGAGCTCACCCGCCAACTTAAACTGCCAACTTTTCTGTCAGCAAGTTAAGTAGCATAGCAGTCTAACCCGCTGTGCCACCAGGGGCTCTGGACAGCAAAATAGTTCAAAATTTTAGTGTTTGTCACATTTATATCTCTTCCCTATCCTCATTCTTCAGTAAACTCAAAGCAGTATGCACACCTCCCCTGCACTTTATTGGTCCAAGTATTATTATTTTTTAGTCAATTGTCTTGATTGCAGGATGTCATAGTCCCACTCTGTTCTGCTTTGGTCAGACCTTACCTGGAATAATGCTGTGGACCATGATCCAAAAGGTGTTGATAAACTGGAAGGTGTCCAGAGAAGAGAAACTAAAAGGATCAAAGGTTTGGAAGCCAAGCCCTATGAGGAGCAGCTTAGGGAGCTGGGATGTTTAGCCAGGAGAAAAGAATGCTGACAGCGGACTTGATAGTATCTTTAAACATTTTTTAAAGATGCTACATTGAGGAGGGAGTAAACTTGTTTTCTCCTGCCCTGGAGATTAAGACACAAGGGAGAAATTGATTCATATTATCACTTGAACATTAGGGGAAACTTTCTGTCAGTAAAGCTATTCAAAAGTGGAACTCTCTGCCTCAGAGTGTGGCGGAAGCTTCTTCTTTGGAGGCTTTTCAAGAGGCTGGATGGCCATCCATCAGGAGTACTTTGATTGTATATTCCTACATAGCAGAATGGGATTGGACTGGATGTCCCTTGTGGTCACTTCCAACTCTGTGATACTATGAAATTTATAATAAGGTTAATATGCACAGTGAGTATATAGAATTTCTCTGTTAGAATTCAGTATATTAAAAGCAAATTTTTAAAGAACCAATATACTTTATTCATTTTTTTAAAAACACACTGAACTGTATGAATGATGCATTCATTTAATATTCTGTATACAGCAGAAATGAACAACAATGCAATTTGGGCAACTGAGATGGTACTTTCCTATCATTCGTATGAGCTCCTTGTGCTCTCTGTAAACATACCCAAGTTGCTTTGGGTGAATCTATATTTGTACTTGTGCCATTCATTCCCACATTATGTAACTTATCAAGAAAAATGGATAGCCTTTTTAGTCTCTTGAGACCCTTCATATTTCCCAATCCCCACACATCTGTATTGTGATAGATATATTCTGCTGGGGTATAGTAAGGGATTATGATAAAAGTTTAAAATTGCAGGGGGGGGGGAGTTCCCAAACCACTGGAACCAAGACCTACTAATAAATCATATACAAACCAGTTTGCTAATGAGCTGGGAATGGATCCACTACGCAGACTGATACATGTATGTATAGAGAACACTTGAATGCTAAATCGTCATACCCTTGATAGCTTTGAATAACTGTCTTGCTTATCCAACTTTAATTTTTTGGGTTTTTCTCACTTCTTTTCCCAGTTCTCCTAGAATGGCTGCCTTGTGCTTAAAGAAACTACTTGCTCAGGCTAGAAGGGATCAAGTGAACTTTATCAGTAGATACCTTGCTACTTTTGGGATGCGCCCACTGGAAAGAACACCCCTTTCTCAGACATGGCTTGTGACAGAGCATGCTACAAAAGGACTTCTTCCTTTCCCCACACAATCATTCTGTACACATGAAGCTGCTGAGGAGAAACTGAAAGGAAAGAAAATAAATCCCAATGCCAAAAAGACTATTGAAAGTGTTGGAAAGAAAATTCCGCATAGGATTGTTCAACTGATCGATGAGAATGGCAAGAATGAGGGAACGATGCACAGAGCCGACGTGATTCGTATCATGGACGAAAGGGGACTGAGGCTTGTTCTGCTTTCAGAGAAAGCAGATCCTCCAGTTTATAGACTGATGTCAGGGCACCAGATTCATGAGGAACGCATGAAACTGAAAGAAAAGCAGAAAGCTAACCCCTCAAATGGTGCGTATGGCTCTTGTTAAAAGTTCAGTGGTTCTGAAAGGTCTTTAAACATTAATCAGGATATAATCAATTTGTTTGTTTGTTTTCCTTTCTGTAAGTGCAGAACAGAATCACAGCCTCTTATTTTGGTGATAGGAATTTTTTTAAAGTCAGTTTAACTACATGCCTATATACCCAATTATTAATCACGATCAGATACACTACTAGATGTTTATATGGAGTGGAAATCTGCAGAGTTGTTCCATCATGCCATACAAGATTGTGCAATCTTTTCAGTTTTAGCTCAGATGAATCTTTTCAGTTTTATCTCATTTAGTACAGCCCTTGTATCCATGGGACCATGAATCATAGTTTTATTTATCCACATTGGACAAAATATGCTTTCTAGGCATTTTCTAGAGCCCCCATTGCGACTTTATAGTGTCTTGAACTGGAAGTCTTCATTTCATTAGTTTTATGCTGTTGCATTTATAGAAAAAGATGTTGATAAAGTTGCTTACATTAGTAAGAATGGTGTAGCCTTTTTGCTCCTGACTCACATGGGCTGAGTATCTTTGTCCACATTCCAGCAAGCCTCCCTAGAACTATGGGAGTAGGAGACTAGCTTTCCTCTTTCTGTGGCCCTGAAGGAAAGCCTTCCCAACTCTTCCTTACTCCTGCCACATTACTGTTTTTGCAACATTTTGCCATATGAGAGCACTACACTCCATACCCAGATGCTACATGGTGGTTATTGATTGCGCACTCTTAGTGCTGGAGCTTGAGGTATAACCTATTCTGTTCAAGATGCTGGCTTAGGAAGATTCTTACCTGGATATATCCATGTTTGATTTTCTTTTTCTGGTAGTCCAGCCCCAGCACAGCAACCCAAGCTGTGGTTTGCACAGAAGAGCTCAGAGCGCAGTGACTTGTAGAGAGATTGTGTCTTCATTCCAGCCAAAGAGAGAACCCACAAAGGCACAACCTGAACTTTCAGTAGCTACATGAAAATGTCTTGACTATAACCATATTTCGTTGCTTGCTTAATAAGCCAAGCTAGAACTGAGGACTGGGGGTTCCCCCTGAATATCCCTATGCATTTGAAAGTGAGCTTCACTCACTGAGCTTCACTCACAGTGAGCTTCACTCACTGAAGCTGAAGGTCTGAAGAGTATTCCGTAACTGCACTGAATTGAATGCAATTACAAAGTCCATGTGAGTTGGGCCTTGTAAATATTTGCTTCCTCTGTCCATAAGAGCTGTAATTGGAGATAGAGCCCTTTTCAGTCGTCCACTACCAATACATTAAGGTCTAGCTTACATCCCATGTGATGAGGGATACTGAAGTAATGGGTTTTAGGTGTGACCCACATCTCTAGTTTTGGTTCTATGTTATGGTCAGATGAATTCCTTGATACATAACTTCAGATCCTCATACATGGGTAGGACTCCTATGCTGCCTTTCACCATTGTGAAAAAAATATGAAGGTGTTTATTGCGTTGTGTGCCTTCAAGTCATTTTCAATTTATGGTGACCTTATCATGGGGTTTTCTCGGCAAGATCTGTTCAGAAGGGATTTGCCTTTGCCTCCCTCTGAGGCTGAAAGAGTACGAGTTGCCCAAGTGATTTCTGGGATTTCCATAGAACCACCTTCCCGATCACAGGTATTTTAAGAAAGAAACTAAATTGGAGAAGAATGTTTAAATGCAAAGATTAAAGATGTTTCCTTTATTTTCCATAGGGCCTGTCCAACAGAAGGAGATAACACTTTCCACAAATATTGCCCAACATGATTTAGATACAAAGATAAAACAAATACAGCAGTGGATTGATAAGAAGCACCATGTGAGGGTAACAGTGCAGCAGAAGAGGGCTGCTGATGAACCAAAAAATATGGTAATTTGATTTAAAAGTTTTAAAGTGTGTTTCGTCCATTGATGGTATGCCTTCTAACAGCATTTTATGTACCTGGTTTTGTCAACAGTAAAGACTCCTTTTAAGTATTTTATTTTTTAAGCTTTTGTAATAACTTTGGATATAACTATCTCCTCTATGTCCAAAATAAGTTTTGTTTAAAGCAAGAGTGACAAATGAGCATGAACTATATAGGCTACATGCAGTCTATGGATTTTCCCCCCTTTTTTCTTTTTCTTTATGGGGTTTTTCCCAATAACCCCCATAACCTCCCCCCCCCCCCCCAGCATGTGCAATGCTTAGTTTAAATGAAACAGAACCCCACCCCAATTAAATAAATAACAAAACAAGAATAGCTTTCCAGTCATTTCTGGTTTCATTTTTTCAGGATTTTAGGATACCTAAAAACTGGTATCCAGACTTGAAGAAATCATTTAAATGTATTGGATGCCACACTTTCTAGTTTAATTATAAGCTGACCTTTTTACAGTTTTAATGTTAGCTTTAACACATGCTAACATTAGCTCAATACAACCAGGGATAACATTATTGTCTGTAAATACAAAATACTTCAGATACAAGAGAAGAGAAACTGAAGCTCTCCAAGCCACTGAAAATAAAAAGTGGCATTTCTTAACATGCCAGACTATAGTAATTGTAATGAGCAAGTGCCGAACTCCAGTCAAAATACAAATGTTAGGCCAAAGGCAGTCAGATCTCATTGCCATCTCTCAGTATCTTTTACATACTGATTTAGAATTTTGTCACATTATTATTCCTATGCCTGATCTGTTGTATTAAGAGTCCAATTCTTTTACTAAATTAAAAAAACCTCTCTCTTTATTTTCAGCTAGCATTATTTGATCAGATTTTGGGTGCGATGCCTGAAAAAGCAACTTACCTCTCAGAGCCACGCATTGCTAAAGAAGGAAGGAGCACATGTGTATTGAGACACATGTCTGAGAAAGAGATCTGCGAACTCAAGACGAGGGGAAAGATCAAAGAAGGTCCCGGGGACACTGAAAAGTCAACCACTACCTCAGATACGCTCAACCAGTGATTTTGAAATGTGACAAAAGACTGAGTTTGCTTCAATGGCTTTTTGTTTATCTGTACAGACCCCTTAAACTTGATGACAATGATCACTCTATAAAGTCTCTTCCTGTTTCATGCTCACAAAGCTATTGTTCAGGCTCATCTGAAACTCTAGCCAAGGGACAGTGTTTCCACTGCCAGCATTGTATTGTTCATTGCAGGTTCAGTCAAACTATCACTGATGGACAGTATGTCTCTTTGGTTTGATTTCAATGGGATGTATCCACTGAGGTGAGAGGCTAGGCTCCGCCTAGGTCTTGGCTTTTTAACCTTAGGAGACAAGACAAACAGAATTCCATTTGACATCTGTCATATAAAAAGGAAGCTTAATCTACTTCTACAGGTTGAGTATCCCTTAACTGAAGTGCTTGAGACTAGAATGTTTTGGAATACCTGTATTTGCCTATATGTACATAATGAGACCTCTTAGGAGATAGGACCCAAGTCTAAACACAAAATGCATTTATGTGTCATGTACTCCTTAGCCTGGAGGTAATTTTATACAATACTTTAAAATAATTTTGTGCCTGAAACAAATTTTGTCTACACTGAGTTATCAGAAAGCAACAGTATCACTCTCTCAGCCACCCACAATTATTGTTGGAGTGTTTTGAACTTTCAGGTTCCAGATAAGGGATGCTCAACCTGTATTATTGTTACACATATCTGTGACCAGCATTTCTTGGTAGATAGCTTATGGGAAATGACAAAACACTGTTTTGCTTTTTGCATTTCCTCAGTGCTGGAGAAGTTACAGAGATAATTGCAGTCTAAGTATGGTTTCCTTTGGGTCAGGAAAAATATACTCTTGTTTAAACATGCAAACATAAGCAGAGGCAAACAGATACCCCTGTAAGCAAGAAGATCCACTACTTCACATCTTTCCAAAAAGGGGACCTGTTCCATCACTATAACGCCAACTCTCCTCTCTTGCATTTAATGCTATCTATAATTCTATCTGCTTAATGGAATTATAACAAAATTCTGAAGGATGAAGCAGCATGCTAGGAGCTGTTGTCCAGATATAGTTGGACAACAGCTCCTAGCATGCTGCTTCATCCTTCAGAATGCCTGGAAAGCCATTATTAATTTTTGTAACCATGCTTTCTATAACTTCAGTTGTATCTAAATGTTCATCTTGCACATATGATTGCCAAAGTATGTTGGGGGGAGAATAAATGCATGCAAGAACCACCCACAGTTATATCTGAAGTGTTTTGATTCCCTGCCATTCAGGTGTGACAGCTGCTATCTGGTGAAAACATATGAATTTCCCCATTATTGGGAATCCTGGTAAGGCATGATAGACTTCTTAAGCCTGGTAAAAGGGAGTGTATTTTCTCTTTTGGGGAAAGATATAAAGTACTAGATCTATTAGGAAACAGTCTCCATCAGCAGAGTTTAGCAGAAATAATGCTTCTCTTGCTCAGACTCACTTAACTTTTTAAAAAAACCAGTAGGCAGGATCAAGTTACAAACAAAATAATTTTACTAATTGCTTTGAGAATGTACATACATTTGAATTCCCTACATCCTAACTAACTAATGAAAAGATTGGGTGAAAGAGCACCACAGAGAACTTAAAAAAATTAATTCATCATCTTAATGCTGGAGAACAAAGGAGGAAGAGAAGAACAAAGAGGAAACTGAAAGAAAGAAGGAGTTTTTATATCACCAATCCTATAAATTTCTCACATGGTCTGGTTACTTACATACATAAAGTATATGACCATGCACTGTTAACAGATAGGTGAGCAAATGGGGGAACTTGACGTACAGAACTCGGGAGGAGTACAAGCATGCAGGGGGGCCCTATACTATCTAAAATCCCCAATTGCTCTAATAGCAATGAAAGGAAGTGAGAGAATGCTTGACTTCACAACAGTTCCATTTTCTAATTCTCTTGCACCCTCATCGAAAACACATCCCGTCTTGTAATGTCTGGAAATGCTCCTTGGAGAGAAGCTTGGTAAGGTTATCAGCAATCATAATTTCAGTGTTGCAGCACTGTTATTGAACAAGTCTACTTTGAAGCGTCTCTTTCACCTTGAAGAAACCAATATTAATCATCTTCCTGAGTGTTTTTTACTCTCAGAAATTTTGCATCAAAATGATTGGCTTGGATTCTGTTACTCTGAAGTACAGAAGTAAGTTATGCAGCCACTGTATTTCATCACACACACCCTTTGCTGATATATACCTAGCACCAATAGAAGAATATGCACTTGTAGATAGTTATTTGCCCAACGTATGGATTTTCTACCATAAAAACTCAGGTTTCTGTTGATTTCCTGTCTGCCAAGTGTGCAGTGATCAACTGGCTGGCCACAGCAACAGACTGCGATCTGTGGTTCCTTAAAAATATCTGCCAACTATTTTCACTGCAATGAGATTTCTTATGAGAAGACAGTTAACTGTTCTGCATAGTGCGTGATGTCTTCCACATTTTTATTGTGTGTCTCCTTGAGATTTTGCATTATCTCCTTACTATCTACTTTGTCTTGACTGCACAGGATCCGATCATTAACATAACACATGATATAAGTCCATTTTTCATTTTTAACCTTTTGTATATACATCTGTCAATACTCAAGTGCCTAGAATGAACCCCTTCTCGGGGAGAAAGTGATTAGTTTCTTAGTCCATGTTCTGGCAGCCTGTTGTAAACCATAAATGCTCTTTTTCTGTTTGCATGTAAGATGCCTTTTTCCTAGGAAATTGAAATCCAGGAGGCTGGCTCCATGTAAAGTGCCTCATTGAGTTCACCGTACACTACAGGAAGGCTGTTTTCCCATAGTTGGCTTAGAATATGGCATTTAATGCTGGCCTTTGAATATTTAAATTTTGTTCACATTTTTTTTTCTGAAGGGAAGAAGATACTTTAAGCAAATCCTTTTCCAACAGATGGGATATTTCTCTCCTGCAACTTTTATTTTATAGATGCATTCTATGCAGTTTTGTTTATTTTGGTATTCTCCAATTTCAGAAATGGTCTTTTGCAAAGTCATACCTTCCTTAATTTGAAAAGCAGTGATTAATGGAGTGTAATATTTTGGAAGGCTATCCATAGACAGTCTAAGTTTCACAAATTCTGGCATGAACTTTCCAGAAGACTGGAAGTCCAGACAGTCAGGATATAAATTAATGTTCTCATCCAAAAATCGAAGGCTGAACAATTCTGCACCCAGAAGCCTCATAATAAGAACAGCCTAATTAATGCTACTTGAAGGGTCAAGTTATTCCTGTAGTTTTTCTCACATTTGTTTTTCAAATCTTGGATGTGCGCTTTTATCTTTGCATCAACTGCCAGTCACATGTAAGCTGTTGCCTTGTCATTGTTCATATAGAACTGTTTCTGGGGATCTGCTTGTTTCCACAGGACATAGCATTAAATACCCCCATCGCGGTGAGATGTATCAGCTTACTCCAAGGCCAGGACTTATCCATGGCCATTGTTGCCTAATCTTCTATTCTTTAAGCAGCAAAGCAGCACCATTTGTAGATTTGGTAAAACAGCAGCTATGTGGTCTCAGAAAAAGCACTTAAAGATTGAGAATGGGCCCCAAAATATGAGAAAGGTAGTATATCCCAGGGTGTAAGCCCTTTTGGAAAAAAAATATGAAGACTGGATTTGATAGGAAACGATCTCCTTCAGCAGAGTTTAGCAGAAGTAATCCTCCTCAGTCTTCAGTACCTCCAAGGTTGGAACTGACTTAAGTAAAGAAACAAGCAGGCAGCATCATGTTACAAACTGAGTAACTTTACTAATCATTTTTAGAACGTACATACATTTGACGTCCCTACATCTTAACTAACTAATGAAAAGATTAGGCAAAAGGACAAGCTTCAGTAAGTTTCAAAAATTAATTTCACTATCTTGAAGCTGAGGATAGAAGCAAGAAAAGAGCAGAGAGGAAGTTGATAGAGAAGGGGGTGTTTTTATATGACCACTAAACTTAAGACTTTTTTTGATCATATGGTCTGCCTTGTTAAATAAGCAAGTATTATTGATAGGTGAACAAACTAGGAAACTTTAGAAGGGAGCCTATACTGTCTAACTTTAGAGAGAGCCCCTGGTAGCGCAGCGGGTTATGCCACTGAGCTGCTGAACTTTCTGACCAAAAGGTTGACGGTTTGAATCCAGGAAACAGGGTAAGCTCTCACTGTTAGCCCCAGCTTCTGCTAACCTAGCAGTTCAAAAACATGCAAATGTTAGTAGATCAATAGGTACCGCTCCAGTGGAAATGTAACGGCGCTCCATGCAGTCATGCCGGCCACATGACCTTGGAGACATCTACGGTCAATGCTGGCTCTTTGGCTTAGAAATGGAGCCGGACATGACTAGATTTGGACATGACTAGATTTCATGTCAAGGGGAAAACCTTTACCTTTATGCTACCTAAAATCCCCAATTTTATAAGCAGAAATGAATGGTGGGTGGGGATTTGTTGAGCAAAAATGCTCAATGATCCAATACTAAGTGTGTTCATTCAAATATATTTACAGTGCCACTACTTATATTAGCACCAAACATGCAAACGAACTTTAGAAGCACCTTCTGGGGAAATAAGTCATATCCATCACTACAAGTAATTTCAGAAATTTCCTTAAAACATTTTCTCAAAATAAAATATGAAAATTCACTTTAAGATTTGCTTTTCAGCCATAATTCAGTGTCAACCCTGGTTTTTTTTTATAGCTGCCATGCTGCATGGGAGATTGAAGAAACTGTAAACCATAAAGGAAACGTTTCCAGGTTCTGATATAAATATATTGCTAATTCTTGTATTTGCCAAATAGAAAATTCTCTTTTAACCAAATCTACATAACTAATCAATTTTATTATTATTTCTATAATATTAATATTAACATTGTACCTACCAACCACAGGCATTTCATTATCATTGGGAAAATAAATTGAACTTTCTTTCACATTACTTGTCTGCATTTCCTGACTAGTTCAATTTTGTGAAGGTGGATCTGAACAAGTTGAAAGGAAAACAACTGTCCAGTTTATGGGCCCTTCTGTCTGTACACTGAAACCTCACAATTTGTCAAGGCTCTTGATTACAACATATGGTACTTTATGGAAATAGTTAAGAGACATTGCTTCTATGGGTTAGAAAAAGGAAAATTTGCAAACCAGCCAGGATAACAAAGGTGTAAGTCCTGGATGCAATCATGAAACCAGAGTGTAGACGCCTGAATTATTTTACTGCTAAACATGTTATCAGACTTGGATTACTATTTTGGAAATATTTGAAGCAGTATCAATCAAAAAACCTAAATCTATATTCTAAACTAAACATTTATATTAATCTACTCTTTTTACATATAATTACGTGAAAAAATCCTACTTAGTTCTGTGAATTTGCATTACTATCACCACATTCTTGAATTATTAGTAAGGACCAGCACCATCCCATCAAAACAAAGTTTACCAAACTACTGTCAGGCATTGGTTATTCACAGAAACTTCTATTTCATTCCTAAACAGAAATGAAGACAACAGTGTGACTTACCTTGGCATTTCTTTTTTCAGGATCATGTATCACTGTGTGCCTTATGAGGCTTTGCTGTAAAATAACAACATTTCTGTTTATGCATATACTTAAAAGAGGGATGAACAATGCGAGTCAGTCACTTAAAAGCACCTACTTTCATTGCAAAGTCTCTTCCACAGCCAGGATGGTCACATCTGAATGGTCTTCTGGCCTCATGAAATGAAAGAATATGGCTCTTGAGATTGAACACCGTTGTATAAGTTCGTTCACAGTTCTCCCTTGGACATTTTAGAACTTCTCTGTTGGCAGCGTGAATTTTCTGGTGGCTTCTGAGGTAATCTTTGCGGGTGAATTCTTTGGAACATATCTTGCAGATCACTGGTTCTAGAAAAGGGGGAAAGAGGAGAAACTGTGTATGTGTCTTCAAGTCACCTGTTAACTCAGACATCTGATGAATTTCATAGGGTTTCTTAGTCGTTGACAGTCTCCTATCCATATGCTAACCAGGGATCAACCTGCTTAGCTTCCTAAATCAGATGGGATCTGGTACATTTAAGGTACTTTGACCACTTCAGTAGAAACTGTTGGCATAGTGTCAGAGCTGAATTTGACAACTCCCCCCCCCCCATTTATTTATTTATTTATTATTTGTTTAAGAAACTTATACCCTGCCTTTCCCCACTTAAGGGCCCACGGTGACTTACAGCGGATTAAAACATGCATAATAAAAGTTAAAACATTTGAAACCAAATATTAGCAGTTGCTGACACATGTCCTAAAACATACATTAAACTCGTATAATAAAACATTAACACTTTAAAACCACCAACAAATACATCATACAGTACAGGTTCTTTCTCAACTCTGTAAGTGCTGAGTTCAGTCAAAGGCTTCCTTAAAAACATAGCTTTTAAGGCTCCTCCTAAACTGCAACAGAGAGGGCACTGCTCTAATTTCTCTACATGGAAAACAATCTCTGTGAAAAAAATTAACTAACTCCGTATCAGCATCTTCTAAGCTCCATTACCTTCTTATATAGGTATGTACTTTCATTCCAGGAAGTTACAGGTAAATTTCTATCAAGAAAATCAAATTAAGACATTGAATCCCCATGGCTGTAGAACAGTATATACAACAGACACCATGGAATATTGGCTTTGAGTGTTGAACATTTCAAATCACTGTCCAGTCATTTTATTTATTTATTTATTTGCTGTATTTGTATACCGCCTCTCTCAGCCTTCCGGCGACTCGAGGCGGTGGACAAGGCAAAATTCAATGCCACCAAAAACACAATTACAATATAAAAACATTAACATCAATAAAATCATAACAACTGTAATAAAACATAATTCAATAAATATTCATTAAAACAAGTCCAGTTAATGACTCTAAGCAAGTCACATTTTCTCAACCTTAGAGGGAGGAAACAGAATACATCTCTGGAATAAATCTTGCCAAGAAAGCCAGAACAAGTCAGAATTGAAGACATATAGCAACAGCAAGCAAGTTTAAGATTGAGTTTTCAAAGAAACTAATCACTATGAAATTACCCGTGTGACTGTATCTCATGTGTTTCAGAAGCTCCGACCAGGTTTTCCCAACATATGGACAGTCCCCCTTTCTGCATGGATAACCTAATTAGAAAACACCAGCACAAAAAGAAAGTTAAACAGGCTAAGATAAAACATAAATCACATTCATCTGCTACAGGGAATTTCCTCTTCTGCCTATACAGTGCTAATTCATTGTTTGGATTTTCAGATTTCTAGCATGTTGAGGACAACCACATCTACCACAATATTGATTTGTAGATTATACCTTAAAATGACAGTTATTCAGCACATAATACTGGTCAAACTCTGCTGCTGTTTTATGAGCTTTCTTTAACAAAGTGATCCTCAAGAAAGCCAATAACTTTACAAAGAATACAGTGTGTGTGTGTATAATTGGTTCAAGAAGACTTGAGCACAGCTTTATCTTTAAAGTCACTGAAATTAACCAACACTGTCTGTCAGGTTTTGATTAAACCAAAAGATCCATTTGCTTCGAGCCTGGTCCTTGTATCTGAAGTTGATAACCCATTTATGAATAATTAATAGCATTTTCCCATCTTTTCCAAGTGAAATTACTGTGTCTTGATGGTCCTTTCTTGCACTCAGTATGTTCTGTTTCTCCTGTACTATGAATCTGCCAGTCGTCTACATTTTTGCTGCTTTGGCATGGCTGAAGAAAGAAAACTATTTACCTTCGTGAGTTTTCCCATGACGTTTTAGATGCGCAGGTGTCGCAAAATGCTTTCCACATTCTTCATGGGTACATCTATGTGGCAAACACAAAAATATTCACGTATCAACTACAATAATAATTACAGCTGACATATTAGGAAACAACAATTCTAAAAGTTGATTTTCTTTTCACTGCTATCATCATACAATTAACATGATGCTCTAAGGCAGTGGTTCTCAATCTGTGGGCCTCTAGGTGTTCTGATCTACAACTCCCAGAAATCCCAGCCAGTTTACCAGCTGTTAGGATTTCTGGGAGTTGAAGGCCAAAACATTTGGGGACACACAGGTTGAGAACCACTGCTCTAAGGACACTTTAGAAATTGCTTTTAAAGACCCCTCAGACCCTTTGACCTCTGATGATGCCTGCCATAGATGTGGGCAAAACATCAGGAGAGAATGCTTCTGGAACATGGCCATATAACCCAGAAAACTCATAGCAACCCACTGCCTTTAAAGAATTCGCCACATGAAGGATTATTTTTTGTCTAATACGTGTAAGCTACGTCTTGCAAAAAGTCTTTTGGAGTAGAATTTTAGTCTCAAACTTCTTGTTTTTAAGAGAGACTTGTATTTTATTGTAATAATAACACTATGTTGTGCTAAACAGATTTTCTAAACAAGTGTGCTAGGTCTACTGAAATATTGTTACAGTAGATATAAGAATTTTGATTCATTGTTAAAGCTATAAAAATCAGCATTCTCTTAGTGATGTTATTTCTAAAAAGGAGACAAACATGTTGAAACATCAAAGCAAATTATTAGTTGAAGCTGAGCTAAAGATGGGAACTTTAGCCCAGCTTCAACTACATCTGAAAGTAGCTGAGAAGGGCCAGGATGGCGAAAGGGTCAAAACAGGGGTTAGGACAACAATCATGAAAATAAAGGAAATGATGATCATACAGTATAATCTGTAGCATTTTTATAAAGCTTCCGATGCTCACACTAAAAACTAGAAGCACATTGTTAATCAGCGCAGGGTGTGTGAAAAAGTGTGCTGTCAAAATTGACTCCATTTATTTCTTGCTTCATAGCATACAAAATTAAAGTGATGAAGTAACCAAAGACATCCCAGAAACATCTGTACATATCTTTGTCAAAGTAATCATTTGTAATTCCTGTCTACAGGTATCCTGAAAACCCCAATACTTGTTTTCATGCATAAAAAAAATAGACAGAGGTGCTAAATAATTCACCTACTTGAAGACTGGCTCCCCAGTGTGTTGGGACTCATGGACTTTCAACTGCTGGTGCTTCTTGAAAGCCTTCCCACAATTTTCAAATTCACACTGTTCAGAAAACAAAGTTTGATATTATCAGCAACAGGAAAAGGTAAAGTATTTGTATTTTATGTGCTCCCCAAGTATTGATATGTAAAGCCATGGCAAAGCTGAGGAAAGGACCCATGCTGGATACAGTATTCTGGGAGCAGTATTTTAAAAAGTAACTTTCCCAATTTCTACACACATGAGGTAAGGCTGTGATCTGATCTTCACTGAATAGGTCCCCACTGCCACCTATATCAAATAACACTTTGCAAGCAATTGAGACACTTTCCCCTGCCTTAGCTGACAGTAGTGACAGCTGACAGTAGCATCTTGGTCCTCAGTGATTAAAAACAGCCCAGGCATGCAATGTAAACACTATCAGGATGAAAAGAACTAATAGATTAAGCATACTTTGGGAAATGATTTCCAAATGTCCAGAACAAAATAGAAAAGAAATAGAGACACTTACTACATATTTCCTCTGCAGATGCCTGCGAATAACATGCTTGTTCAAGTTTGCTTTTGTGATGAACTTTTCATTGCAACCAGGCACTGTGCATCTACAAAGACAAACATCTGTTCTCAGTAACAAGAATGAATAAACAAAAGCATGTGTAATCAGCTACCAGAACCATTGAATGATTAAAGAAATCCCAGTCAAATAACCACTGTTGTTGCTTCCACTTTCATAACCATAAATCCCTGGGCCACGCACAGAAGGGACACAGCAAGAAACTTAGAATAAATAAAAGGTAGTACAGTCTGCCCTCCACATTCACAGGGGGTAAGGGTGCATGGCCCTGACAAAAAATGAGGAAAATCCCATTTTTAAGAACACACACACACACCTTTGTTTTTACCTGAAAGAGATCTCTAGGAATCTCTAGGTACTCCAGCACAACTCTATGGTAGAAATTGAACAGAGTCAGGCTTGAGGACCTAAATAAAATATTAATTTAATCTACAAATAATCAAATCTGCAAAAGTGAAAGCCACAAATGTGGAGGGCCAACTGTACTTATTAACAAAATACACAGTTAAACTCTAAAATTCATTGCCACCAGATAAAGTCAACCTTGATGTCTTTAGGAATAGATATAGGCTGAATATCTCTTCTCTGAAACAGGACAAAAAGTGTCCTGGATTTTGGAATATGGATATAATGAGATACTTGGGAGACTGGACTCAAGACTAAACATGGAATTCATTTATGTTTCATATACATTATACATGTATAACCTGATAATTTTATAAGCAACATTTGTGCTACTTTGTGAATGAAGCACAGTTTGTATATACTGAACTATCAGAAATCAATGGGACAGCTATTTTAGCCATCCATTTGGACAATTTTGGATTTTTGAATATGAGAGAGTGCAGTCGCATTATATCCTCCTCATGGGCTTACTGTTGGCATTTTGTTTTGCCCCAAAATAAATTTGGGACTTTGGATGTTACACTTAAAAGCCAAATATTTTCCCTTTCAAATACACAGATTGTAATTAAACAGCATACTTACTCATATGGTTTTTCTCCTGTATGTATAAGGTAATGGCGCTTAAGGTGAGCATCTCTTGTGAAGCCTTTGCCACAGCCTTCGTATGTACAAATAAAAGGGCGCTGATAAAAAAGAAGTGTTTTTTTAAAAAAGAAAATTACTTGGTTATCTCATGACATGCCTTACAACTTTTCGGGAAAAGCATCTCTTACACCTAAAGTATATCAATAGATAGCACACTATTATTTATTTACTGTGTTTGTACCCTGCCCTTCACTTCCCGAGGGACTCAAGAGTAACTAAACTACTGTTGAGTTACTCACATCCTTGTCTTTCCAAGGAACACATCGACTTTCCTCTGCTCCACAAAGAGAGCATTTCCTCTTTTCCATCTCATCAAATCAATCTAATGCTTCCTTCATCAAAAGTTCATTTCCGATTTAATCAGGGTAGAGCTACTCAACTAAGAGGAAGAAGGAATATGTTTTGACTTATGATATACCAATCTGAGACTTTCTAATCCTAGTCATAAACAGACATATCACTTTAAATAAGCTGAAATTATAAGGCAAAAGAAAATGAAACTTTTCCCTTCATTTAGATCCATGCGCTTTAGATCCATGCGCTTTATAAAAGGTAGTGATTTGAAAAAATTACGAATGGAATATTCCTTGCACAATGAGAGTGCTTAACTAATTAGCCTTAAGGATGACTATTTTTTTACAACAGGCACTGAGGTTTATAATATCAAATAATCAGAGTGTGCCAGTAGGTGAAATTAGCACTGCCTCTAAGTACTTGTATATGCCATTTATCTGTAGGGCAAGGAGGCAGCACAGCACCAAGAATAAGAGCATGCCAGTCACAAAGTGACAGTGCTAGCATAGTCCCTCTTTTGTTGCTATTCTTCCTGTCTGATCTAATCAACAAGGAAATGTTAACAAACTGACCAATTGTACTGACAGCACAAATATCTTGGTGAGGACCTGCATCCAAAGGGGGACACATAACCCTTTCCTGAAATAATGTATATCTAGATCCAGAAGTAGATAAAAGTCCCCTCTCCATCTCTACTGCTATTGCTGTGACTTTAAAGGGAGAGTAGAAGAGGCAGTTTCTGCTAGACGTAATCCCCTCCTACACTGCTATCCCCCTTTCCATTTCTGTCATGTCTTAATTAGATTGTGAGATTGAGGGCAAGGAATTCCTTTGTTATTTTACTTGTAAAGTGCCATGTAGAGATGGTACTATATAAATAATGATAATGATGACATCATCATCATCATCATCATCAATACACATTTATAGCAGTCTGATATTACTTTTAAACACTATTATCGCTCCAGCCTATGTAATCTTTGGATTTATAGTTAGGTGAAGTATTCAGACTTCCCAAAAAATATGAACAAGAGCACTCATGCTGAAAATTGTATGTACCTCATCTGAAAGCAGATCTCAGGAATAAGTAGGATGGAGTCATGACTATCCATGTGATATGAAACTGATACTGGTTGGGTTTCTCTTATCTGAAGTACTTGACACTGGAAATGTTTTGGATTTCAGATTTATTTTTTTATTTTGGAGCTTGGAATACCTGTTTCTTATGTTTCATATACACATAGCCCGGAGGTAATTTTATATACCATATTTGTGCATGAAACACAAGTCTGTATACACTAAACCACCAGAAAGCACGATGTCACTATTTCAGCCATCCATGGATGTATCAACATTTGATAAATTATTCAATTTCATATCACTCAATGCTATGGAACTATGGGAATTGTATTCCTTTAGTTTTCTGACAAAGAAAGCTGGTGCCTAACCAAACTACAAATCCCAGAATTCCATAGTACTGAGCCATGTCAAATAAAGTTGTGTCAAACGGAAACAATTCTACAGTGTAGATCAGGCATGGGCAAACTTCGGCCCTCCAGGTGTTTTGGTCATCAATTCCTACTGGCTGTTAGGAATTGTGGGAGTTGAAGTCCAAGACACATGGAGGGTCGAAGTTTGTCCATGCTTGGTGTAGATGCATCCCCGTATGGACAATTTTGAATTTCGGAATAGGGACACTCAACCTGTATAACCATATAGTGCAGATGCACCCTTAAGGTTGCCGTATAATTATTATAGTGTTTAGCAATTTAAATCAACTGAACACTGGTATACTATACAGTGGTAATTCTCTATGGACATATAGACTCTCAATTAACTGAAACTCAAACAACTGGAACTCTCAAGCAACCAGCAAAATGTTTATTATCTGCCATTTAACAAAAACTAAAACTGCATTCACAAAGCTGTTTTTATAACACAGTAAAACTGTGTTAAGTTTTTATTTGCCTCAATTTGCTTTTAATTATTGTTCTTCAGTATTAAATAGATACAGAGTTTAGTATAGCATGGAGTATAGTATTCGTCCTAGTTTTAATAGTAACTCTCAGCAAGCAGAAACTATATTTATCTGGCATTCATCAATCCCGAAGGATGTCAATTACCTTAAGAGTCTATTCTATATATAAAACAGATGTGCATATTTGTGTATGTATACACCCAAAAGATGTCCAAAAAGTCACCATGCGTAAGGAAACTGGGAAAGTGTAGCTAAACGTACCTTTATTTACATAATATACATTACAAATTTACAGAATGTTTACAAAATATTCTTCAGTAATCTTAAAATATAAGTAAACATACAAGTAACAGAATAATACATTATCCATGAAATTATTATTAAATATATATAATCCAAGAGTGTTATTTTTACCAATTTAAGTCTTCATTTTAAATATATTTAGCTACACTTTGAAAATTTCCCTATGTATGGTGACTTTTGGAACATCCTGTGTGTGTGTGTGTGTGTGTGTGTGTGTGTGTGTGTGGAGATACACATAACATGTTATCATCACCACCGCCAAGTTTTTTTTTATTATTTATATTACAGGCATGCACAAACTTTGGCCCACCAGATGTTTTGGACTTTAACTCCCACAATTCCTAACAGCTAAGTTTATTATTAATTATATTACAGATATGCACAAACTTCGGCCCTCCAGGCGTTTTGGACTTCAACTCCCACAATTCTTAACAGCCAAGTTTATTTATTATATTATTATTATTATTATTATTATTATTATTATTATTATTATTATTATAGGCATGGGCAAACCTTGGCCCTCCAGCTGTTTTGGGCTTCAACTTCCATAATTCCTAATAGCCAAGTTTATTACTATTATATTACAGGCATGGGCAATTGTGGGAGTAGAAGACCAAAACACCTGGAGGGCCAAAGTTTACCAATGGCTGGGCTAGAGACATCTTTCTAGTACCCTTACTGGATGGTAGGTCACTACTGCAATAAAGCCCAATTAACTGTGAGAGATGTTCAGCAGGGGAACTCTCTGCCCCAGAGTGTGGTGGAGGCTCCTTCTTTGGAGGCTTTTAAACAGAGATTTGATGGCCATCTATTGTGGGTGCTTTGAATATGATTTTCCTGCTTCTTGACGGAGGTTGGACTGGATGGTCCACAAAGTCTCTTCCAACTTAATGATTCTAACCACAGAATCGATATCCACATTCTTACTGATCCAGGCTTCAAAAATACTACTATAGACGTATAAATATAGAATAGACGTGTCTTGGGGAACCCCCTAAATATATTGCCCCGTTATAATATATTGTATGTACATATAACTTGTAAGCTGCTCTGAGTCCCCTTTGGGGTGAAAAAGAGCGGAGTATATAGCATAGATGTGTTTGGGGAACCCCCTAAAATCCTCCAGCATGCTTCTGGCCTCAGCACAATCAAAATATAGGATTTGTTATTATCTACAATTTTAGTTATCAGGGCAGGGGTCTTGGAATGTATCCTCCACTGATACAGGGCTGTGCTGTATTATTACTATGTCACTGAGAAGGGATGATAAAAAAAATGTATGCTGACTTTGCAGCTAGGATTGCATTTGTACTTGGATGACAACCTATATACTTACTCAATATGCTTTATCAGCTCTTAAAAGCATTTTTAGAAGGCCAATTTGTTTTCAATATATTTGGCTTGTGTCAAAATCATTGTGGGAAAAATTTACTAGTGAAATAAAAATGCTTGTAGCACAAGATCCAGGCAATGAGTAATTCCAAGCAAGAGCTTTAAGGGGAATTTAGGATAGCAGATTATGAGAGAAACGGTTTCCTGTGGTAATTGCTGCCAGAGGCATCCAGGAAGAGCAACCAAGAAATAAAAGAAAGAGACCTTGGCTGGGAGATTAGGAGGGCCAAAGTTTGTCCATACCTGTTATATTAGGAAACCAGGAAGACTGTTCCACCATGTCTACTGTGCCATCAGTTGAGGGCCCTTCCCCCCAGCAACAATATAGTACTATATAATACTAATATTGTGTTATGCTAATAATATAATATATTGTATATACATATAGTACTATTGTATATACATATAATACTACTACTAATAATAATACTATATAATATTATATATTACATGTAATATTACAGTATAGTGGTCTAGTACAATATAGTAATATATAATGCTTATATTGTGCTATGCTAATAATGTAATACATTGTAGTAAAGGTAAAGGTTTTCACTGACAGTAAGTCTAGTCGCGTCCAACTCTGGGTGCGCGTGTGTGTGTGTGTGTGTGGGGGGGGGGGGGGGGGGGGAAGGTAATATCTCTATTTTTTTAAGCCCAAGAGCTGGCGTTGTCCGTAGACACCTCAAAGGTCATGTGATGCCTGGCTCGAGAGCAGTACGTGTGAAAAAGATCTTGGAGTCCTCGTGGACAACAAGTTAAACATGAGCCAACAATGTGATGTGGCGGCAAAAAAAGCCAGTGGGATTTTGGCCTGCATCAATAGGAGCATAGTGTCTAGATCTAGGAAGTAATGCTACCCCTCTATTCTGCTTTGGTTAGACCACATCTGGAATATTGTGTCCAATTCTGGGCACCACAATTCAAGAGAGATATTGACAAGCTGGAATGTGTCCAGAGGAGGGCGACTAAAATGATCAAGGGTCTGGAGAACAAGCCCTATGAGGAGCGGCTTAAGGAACTGGGTATGTTTAGCCTGAAGAAGAGAAGGCTGAGAGGAGATATGCCATGTATAAATATGTGAGAGGAAGCCACAGGGAGGAGGGAGCAAGCTTGTTTTCTGCTTCCTTGGAGACTAGGACGCGGAACAATGGCTTCAAACTACAAGAGTGGAGATTCCATCTGAACATGAGGAAGAACTTCCTGACTGTGAGAGCCGTTCAGCAGTGGAACTCTCTGCCCGGAGTGTGGTGGAGGCTCCTTCTTTGGAAGCTTTTAAACAGAGGCTGGATGGCCATCTGTCAGGGGTGATTTGAATGCAATATTCCTGCTTCTTGGCAGGGGGTTGGACTGGATGGCCCATGAGGTCTCTTCCAACTCTTTGATTCTATGATTCTATGACTGCATGGAGCCCCGTTATAATATATTATAATATATAATATATGTGCATATAATTTGTAAGCTGCTCTGAGTCCCCTTTGGGGTGAAAGAGGGCGGGGTATACATATAGTATAGTAAATCTATATATAAAAAAAAGTAATGTTCCTATAGCCAGGAAATCAGAAGACGCTTACTTCTTGGGAGGAGAGCAATGTCCAATCTCGATAAAATAGTAAAGAGTAGAGACATCAGAACTGGCAACAAAGATCCGCCTAGTCAAAGCCATGGTATTGCCTGTAGTAACCTACGGATGTGAGAGCTGGACCTTAGGGAAGGCTGAGCGAAGGAAGATCGATGCTTTTGAGCTGTGGTGTTGGAGGAAAGTTCTGAGAGTGCCTTGGACTGCGAGAAGATCCAACCAGTCCATCCTCCAGGAAATAAAGCCCGACTGCTCACTGGAGGGAAAGATACTAGAGACAAAGTTGAAGTACTTTGGACACATCATGAGGAGACAGGAAAGCCTAGAGAAGACAATTATGCTGGGGAAAGTGGAAGGCAAAAGGAAGAGGGGCCGACCAAGGGCAAGATGGATGGATGGCATCCTTGAAGTGACTGGACTGACCTTGAGGGAGCTGGGGGTGGTAACTGCCGACAGGGAGCTCTGGCGTGGGCTGGTCCATGAGGTCACGAGAATACAATTATCTATATAAATAAAAATGTAATGTTCGTTTGTGGGATTAACATAACTCAAAAACCGGTGGACGAATTGACACCAAATTTGGACACAATACACCTATCAGGCCAACGAGTGACCATCATTCATAAAAACACTGAAAAACACTGCGGAAGGGACTTTAAAAGCCCCAAAAAAATTACATTTCAACACATGCGCAAAACCACATATACACACAGATAAAACACACATATATATACAAACTGGGCCACAGCAAGGCGTGGCAGGGAAGTGCTAGTCAATAAATAAATTAGGATTCTACAGGGCAGGCAGAGCAGCAGTGGCTACGCGCACTCCAGTCGAACCTACTTCACATCATCACTTCCGGCAGGAGTGCTTCCCGAGCGCGACCTCCTCTCCGGCAGTAGCCAATGGGGAAGCCGCCTCACGCTGATTGGCTGCCAGGGTCAGGTTCACTACCCCAAGGCGGCGCGGCGCGTGGCCTCAGGCAGAGAGGCGCGCGCCTGCCCCCGCGCGGCCCCGCCCCTTCCCTCCCTCCGTCCCCATGGCAACACTCACCTCCTGCTCTTGGCCCATATGGCGGAGCAGGTGCGCTTTGAGCTTGAAGGGCCTGTTGAAGGTGGCCACGCAGTCCGGGAAGGAGCAGATGAAGACCTTGTCCTCGGAGGCGACCCTCCGGCGGCGAACCCGTTCCTCCTCCTGGCCGCCCGCTTGGGCCCTCCTCTGCGTCTCCGCGGCCACCGTCGCGATGGCCTCCTCTTCCACCTCCTCCTTCACGATAAACTCCCTCACCTCCATATTGTCTCTCCAGGCCACGTGACCTCGCAGTCGCCCCACCCCCCTCCCGAGCTCGAGAAAGGCGTTTTTATTGGGGCTTTTGGGCTCCTCCCGGTCGCCGTTGCCCGCTCTTCCGCCCTGGGTAAATATGGCGGCGGCGGAAAACAGTGGCAGGACGGGAAGTAGTTCGGTTTTTGTTTTTTTTCGTTCTCCGCATGCGCGGAGTGTCCTTTCTTATGCTATGCAGTTAAGTAAAGGTAAATATTGTGTCCAATTCTGGGCACCACAATTGAAGAGAGATGTGTCCAGAGGAGGGCGACTAAAATGATCAAGGGTCCGGAGAACAAGCCCTATGAGGAGCGGCTTAAGGAGCTGGGCATGTTTAGCCTGAAGAAGAGAAGGCTGAGAGGAGATATGATAGCCATGTATAAATATGTGAGAGGAAGCCACAGGGAGGAGGGAGCAAGCTTGTTTTCTGCTTCCATGGAGACTAGGATGCGGAACAATGGCTTCAAACTACAAGAGAGGAGATTCCATCTGAACATGAGGAAGAACTTCCTGATTGTGAGAGCCGTTCAGCAATGGAACTCTCTGCCCAGGAGTGTGGTGGAGGCTCCTTCTTTGGAGTCTTTTAAGCAGAGGCTGGATGGCCGTCTGTCAGGGGTGATTTGAATGCAGTATTCCTGCTTCTTGGCAGGGGGTTGGACTGGATGGCCCATGAGGTCTCTTCCAACTCTTTGATTCTATGATTCTATGAAACTAACAAAATGAAGTTCAACAGTGGCAAATGCAAGATACTCCACTTTGGCAGGAAAAACGAAATGCAAAGATACAGAATGGGGGACAATGCCTGGCTCGAGAGCAGTACGTGTGAAAAAGATCTTGGAGTCCTCATGGACAACAAGTTAAACATGAGCCAACAATGTGATGTGGCAGCAAAAAAAGCCAATGGGATTTTGGCCTGCATCAATAGGAGCATAGTGTCTAGATCTAGGGAAGTCATGCTACCCCTCTATTCTACTTTGGTTAGACCACACCTGGAATATTGTGTCCAATTCTGGGCACCACAATTCAAGAGAGATATTGACAAGCTGGAATGTGTCCAGAGGAGGGCGACTAAAATGATCAAGGGTCTGGAGAACAAGCCCTATGAAGAGCGGCTTAAAGAGCTGGGCATGTTTAGCCTGAAGAAGAGAAGGCTGAGAGGAGACATGATAGCCATGTATAAATATGTGAGAGGAAGTCACAGGGAGGAGGGAGCAAGCTTGTTTTCTGCTTCCCTGGAGACTAGGACAAAGAACAATATTTATTTATTTATTTAGAGTTTTTATATTCTGCCCTTCTCACCCTGCAGGGGACTCAGGGCGGATTACAGTATACACATATATGGCAAACATTCAATGCCAGTTTGACAAACAACATATACAGACAATACACAGAGGCTATTTAACTTTTTTTTTTCTGGCCGCCAGGGGAGCTGCTGCTTTCATCGTCCACCAGCGACACCGATGAAGTTCTTCCGCATTCCACATTCCCCGGAGTCTTTTCTTTATGGCCTCATAAATTAGTTAATTTAGCCTCCCACACAAGGTGGTACCTTATTTTCCTACTTGACAGATGCAACTGTCTTTCGGGTTGCAAAGGTCGACAACAGGCTACACAATGGCTGGACACCCACTCCAGCCCGGGCTGGCTTCGAACTCATGACCTTTTGGTCAGAGTGATCTTAATGCAGCTGACACTCAGCCAGCTGTGCCACATTCCCGGTGCTTCAAACTGCAAGAAAGGAGATTCCATCTGAAAATGAGGAAGAACTTCCTGATTGTGAGAGCCGTTCAACAATGGAACTCTCTGCCCCGGAGTGTGGTGGAGGCTCCTGCTTTGGAGCTTTTTAAACAAATGTAGTTAAAATAACAAGAAAAAAAACACACACAACACACCAAACAAACAACAAGACAGGCTACAACAAAGCCAAAAAAAACATAAAAGACACAAAAAAAAACCAAAAGAAAAAAAAAGAAAAAAAAGAAAAAAATCGAAACACCAGAAAAAGAGCAAAACCAAAAACACAAAAAAACAAGAAAAAAAACAGTTTTAGAAACAACCAAAAAAAAAAAAAAAAAAAAAAACAAAAAAAAAAAAAGAAAAGCTTACAAAGAAGGAGCCTAAAAGCTTCCTATTTTGGAAGCTTTTAAACAGAGGCTGGATGGCCATCTGTCAGGGGTGCTTTGAATGCAACATTCCTGCTTCTTGGCAGGGGGTTGGACTGGATGGCCCATGAGGTCTCTTCCAACTCTATGATTCTATTAAAGGTTTTCCCCTGACATGAAGTCCAGTCGTGTCTGACTCTGGGGGTTGGTGCTCATCTCCATTTCTAAGCCGAAGAGCTTGTGTTGTCCATAGACATCTCCAAGGTCACGTGGCCGGCATGACTGCATGGAGCGCTGCTATGCAGTTAAGAATAACATAAAACAGTACTTAGAGCAGTGCTTCTCAACCTTCCTAATGCTGCGATCCCTTAATACAGTCTCTCATTTTGTGGTGATCTCCAACCATAAAATTATTTTCGTTGTTACTTCATAACTGAATCAACATTATCATCATCATTGGAGCCCCCGGTGGCGCAGTGGGTTAAACCCCTGTGCTGGCAGGACTGAAGACCGACAGGTTGCAGGTTCAAATCCGGGGAGAGGTGGATGAGCTCCCTCTATCAGCTCCAGCTCCTCATGCAGGGACATGAGAGAAGCCTCCCACAAGGATGATAAAAACATCAAATCATCTAGGCATCCCCTGGGCAACGTCCTTGCAGACAGCCAATTCTCTCACACCAGGACTCACTCCTGACACGACAAAAAAAAAAATCATCATTATTTATACCCTGCTTTTTCTCTCCACAAGGGAGACTCAAAGCGGCTTACATTAAAAGCATTTTAATACATTTTTAAATCCAAAAATATAGAAACAATAAAACAGAATTAAACATCCATGGTACACATTAAACATTTAGGAGTGTAAATCATTAAAACCACGTAAGCCCCTGCTGTGTAGAGATCATGCAGAAAATGGCGAGAACCACATTTGATTAACATTCACTTTACTTTCCAAGATTGTTTACCTTCCTTAAAGAATCAAAACCAAGGATCAAAAGGTAGAAAAATCAAGGAGGAACATGCCGTTTCAAATAATGTACCTAGAATTGCTCAAAGCACCAACAATAGCCCAGCTACTTGAAGTGGTGGTGCACGGACTGGTGTCCATTAACACTTAGCAGATGGTCCTTTGAGAAATTCTAGAAATTTATAGAAAAACAATTGTAGCCAGTGGGCTCAAATATGCTACTTGTCCCATTATATTAAATTTTAAAAAGTTACCAGTTCTTCATATAAAAAAAAATAAGTACAGGAAGTCTCCGAGTTACAAACATCCAACTTTTGATATGCAGGATGTATTTTCATTCACTGTACCAAATTTGGTGGAGTTGAGGGGATTGACTTTGTCATTTGGGAGTTGTAGTTGCTGGGATTTATAGTTCACCTACAATCAAAGAGCATTCTGAACTCTACCAATGATGGAATTGAACCAAACTTGGCACACAGAACTCCCATGACCAACAGAAAATACTGGTTTGGTGGACATTGACCTTGAGTTTTGGAGTTGTAGTTCACCTACATCCAGAGACCAGAGCACACTGTGGGCTCAAACAATGATCTGGACCAAACTTGGCATGAACACTCAATATGCCCAAATGTGAACACTGGTGCAGTTTGGGGAAAATAGACCTTGACATTTGGGAGTTGTAATTGCTGGGATTTATAGTTCTACAATCAAAGAGCATTCTGAACCCCACCAATGATAGAATTGGGGCAAACTTTCCACACAGAACCCCCATGACCAACAGAAAATACTTTGGTAATCCCTCTGACACTGTTGCTACTTGGTCCTTGTACAGATTCCTCAGGAGACAGACAAGGTGATTTGGTATGCCCATACCACTAAGAACTTGCCACAATTTATTATTATTATTATTATTATTATTATTATTATTATTATTATTTTGTTGTATCAGGAGCGACTTGAGAAACTGCAAGTCGCTTCTAGAGTGAGAGAATTGGCCGTCTGCAAGGACATTGCCCAGGGGACGCCCAGATCATTTGATGTTTTTATCATCCTTGTGGGAGGCTTCTCTCATGTTCCCTCATGAGGAGCTGCAGCTGATAGAGGGAGCTCATCCGCCTCTCCCCGAATTTGAACCTGCGACCTGTCGGTCTTCAGTCCTGCTGGCACAGGTTTAACCCACTGTGCCACCGGGGGCTCCACAATTTATTATGATCCACACAGTCAAAAGCTTTAGAATAGTCAATAAAACAGAAATAGATGTTTTTCTGAAACTCCCTGCCTTTCTCCATTATCCAGCGGATACTGGCAGTTTGGTCTCTCGTTCCTCTGCCTTTTCTAAACCCAGCTTGTACATCTGGTAACTCTCGCTCCAGGTATTGCAGGAGTCTTCCTTGTAGGATCTTGAGCATTTATTTTATTTATTTATTTATTTATTTCATTCACTTATACCCCGCCCTTCTCACCCCTAGGGGGACTCAGGGCGGTTTACATAAAGGGCACAATTAGATGCCCAAATCACACAACAAGTAATCCAAAAAATATAAAATTCAGCAGTTAAGTTAAAAACAACAATACATAATAAAACATAATCCTAAAAACAATCTCATGTCAGAGTCCATATGTCAGAGTCCATACATCCGTTCTATTCCATTTGTCCTTGTCTGTCACCGGTCCTTGATTTAATTATCAGAGTGACCAAAGGCTTGGTCCCACATCCAGGTCTTTAGTTTTTTCCTAAATGCTAGGAGGGAGGTCGCCGATCTAATCTTACCTTACTGGCATGAGAAATAAGGGCCACTGTACAAAAGTTGCATTTCCCTTGTTTGGTATGGGGGTATAAGTTGATTTTTTCCAGTCTGATGTCCATTCTTGTGTTTTCTATATTTGCTGGCATATGGCATGCATCATTTTTTGATATTAAGCCCACTCGCCCAACATTATCAATTCCCTTGGATGAGATGAGCTATGTTCAAATGTGCCAGACAACTTTATTTGGAATTTATAAACCACTCTCAATGT